TAAGTATAAAAATTTAAACATCAAAAAAATTATAATGCATGAGATTTAAACCTTAATCAAACTTAAAAAACATGGAACTAATATGCATGGAATGAGAGATTAGTTTAATAACCTATATCAAGGCTATAACTTTTATTAAACTTAAAGCCAAAATATATATATATATATATATATATAGTGGGGCCTTGGGATAAAGGCTTAGCCTTTAGATTTTCTTTTTCCCATAAATGATCACCTAAGAACTTGTAATAATAATAGGCATGAAATAAGCATACGAGAGGTAGGACAAGAAAAAGACATGGAAGCTTTAAACTTTTCCAAGGTATTCACAGTAGAGGCTTTGCAATAATAGTAACCTAACTTGATATTTGATAAATAACCATCATACAAAAGAGATAAGTATAAAAGTCCCAACTTTGTCCACTAAACAAGCAACTGGGTTACAATAATAATAATAAAAAAAAAGGAAATAGGCATGAAAGCTTTCATTTATTCACGGTGGGACCTTAACTAAACTTTAAACTTTCTATCTTGTACAAGCAGCCACCATGCAGTAGAAGAAATAGGCATAAAAACCGTAAGCCTTTTCCAAAACTAAACAACTAGCTTATTACTAAGTAAAACACACACAAATATTCATTCAAACCTAGAAGAAAGTAAACTCAAAAAGTGAGCTTCCAAAGCAATGAAAGGAAAAAAAGCTGGATTTGGAAAACCATTTTTCTTGTTTTTGCCGTATCTTGAATTCTCCATGCTTTTATTAAGCTTTCATTTATTAAAAGAAGGAATAGAAACTGAAAAACATAACTACATCCAGGAAGTTTCAAATGAAATTCTCCAAAAACGTCAACATAGTCGAACCTCCATGAAGAATCATTTTTTTTTGTTATTTTCCTTTTGAACTTAAAACCTCTAAAACCATCTCTTGTTTTATATTTTGAAAAGCTTTTGGATTCCAAAAAGGAAAAAGATCACCCTTTCACCATTTTAGAGTTTCAAGGTTCATGGACAGCCTACAAAAATAAAAATGAAAATGAAATGAAACTGAACACCAATAGTAAAACCCAAGGTAGAATGATCTAGATTTTTCACAAGCAAATAATATATAAGAAAAAGAAAGCAACTAAAATTAATGAAAAAGCTAAAGTTGTAATATTCACTTATCAACAAAGAACAAAAATGGGAAAACTACTCTAATCATTCCTTTCCTCTATGCCCCGTTATTCTTAGAATTTTTTTTAACGAGTTACTCCTCTTTTTTTTTTCTTTTGTTTGTCTTGTTTTACATGGAAGTAAAATCTAAAACCTTTCCTTCACTTGTTTATGAATGATTTTTGTTGTTTTAAAAAATTATCTTTTAATGTCCAAGAAAGCAAACACCACTACCATAACTGGAAAAGGAAAGAACTCATACAAACATTGGAAAAATAAAATTGTAGGTTTTTTGAAAATAAACCTTCTTCATATCCTTGTAAAGTTTTGGCTTGCTTCTCTAACAAAGAAAACTCTCAGCTCCTTTCTTTTTTTTTTCCTCTTTTAGTTATTTTGTTTCTTTTTTTTCTTCCTTTTTTTTAAAAAAAAACTTTTTTTCTCCTTTTTTATGGCTTTTTCATTTTTCTCATTTTTCTTCTACGACTTATCCCCTTTTTTCCATTAAAACGTCCACCAAAAGCCAAAAAAAAAAAAAAACCATCATTTTCTTTATAAGCCTCCTTCTTTTAAACTCTTCACCAACCCCTTCACCAAGCCTTACTTTTTGTCATTTTCTTCTTTTCTCCACTACTCTACCACCGACATAGCTAGGCATTAACCTTGTCTCTTTTTTTTTAATGTTGCAGATGTTATCCTTCTTTTCTTTTTGTAGCAAATCAGCTTATCTTTAGTTGATTGTCTCATAGTCTATACAAGTTTCAGTCCTCACATGAATAAAGATGGGTTTCTCCTTAATACCCAACCATTGTGGGTTTCCATTTTCCATTTGGGTTTTTCTCACCTTTTTATTTATTGGGTCGAATAATGGGCTACATTATGGATTCCATTTGGGCTTCATAAAAGGCTTATAAAAGGGTTGCGTTACAAATCACATTTTGGGCTTTAAAAAGGGCCTTTAAGATAGGCCATAAATTAGGCTACAAATTAAACTTGCACTTAAGCCTTCTTTCGAGTTGCAAATGAGCCCTTAAAATGGTCTACAAAATAAGCCATATAATGGTCTTAGCCCACGCTTAAAAACAAGCTCAAGTTAACAATGTTAAATTATTTCAGACAAAATTAGATGTCTACACACATCAACTGAGAGATATACCTTTGGTCAAGGAAATGAAAAATTGCTTTGCCAAAACTTGTAACCTTTTCTCGATTATGTATGCCAGATTTTTGTGTCATAAATTTGCTAAAGCATTATCCTTAATGATATTTTTTTTGTTACCATTCAATTGTATCTATATCTTGTATATTATACAACATAATTTTTTTCTTACAACTATCATAGATCCTTTGAAAAACTTTTATATTATCTTACTGACTCTCATATCCTTCTTTATCAATGATATTAATTGTAAGTAAATTCATTCTCATATCCAAAATGTGTCTGACATCTCTCAAAGTTAACATGCAGCTTATTCTAGTTTGTATAATAAAATCACTGATCTCAACAATCTGTAACATACTTTTGTTTTCAATCTTAATGCAACCAAAGTCTCTTACTTGTAAGTTGTAAACAACTTCCTCTTAAGAACACAATAATATGCCACTCTTGTGTCAATTATCTACTTAATGTTGGGATCACAAATATGATTACAATCGTCATGTGTATAAATCAAAGTAACCGATTCATTATCTGAATTCACCGCTCCAACATTATCATTATTTAAACTCTTACATTTCTTATCTTTGTTCCCTTATTTCAAGATTTTATAGTTTCACTTTATGTGATTGAGTTTACTATAATGGTAGCACTTCACTTTATCTCTAAATTTGGATATATGTTTAGATTTACTATAGCCTTCCAAGTTTTAACTTCTGTTCATGATTTTATCTTTTGTTCTTTGTGATAAGAGCTTGATTCTCATAGTCTAAATCTTTTCGCCTTACTTTTTATTAAGCATATTATCCTTTACTATCTTCAATATCACCTTATAGTCATGAGCTAAATTAAGAACAATCATGATTAGGGTATTATAACTGTCTGGTAATAAATCCATAATAAACAACGCCTTCATTTCATCATCCATTTTAAGCTTCATAGTAGTCATCCAATTGACTATCTCAAAAATCACTCAAATGTTTTATAATCGGTTATCCATCCTTATATTGTAAAGTTACAAGCTTTTTAAGAAGCATAACTTTATTTATGCATGTCTTCTTCTTATACAATATTACTAATTTTTCTTAAACGGTATAGGCATCTATCTCTCGCTCTACATGATAAAACGTATTGATATCAATCTATTTTTTAATTGTAACCAACATATTTCTACTTAACTCTTTCAGCTTTTATATTTCATATCTACTGATTTAGTCGAATCACCTAATACCGATTTATATAAATCTTTACAATATAAATGATCTTCCATCACTGGTTTCCAAATTGAAATATGATATTATCAATTTTATCATAAAACCTGTATCAATTTTTATGATCTCAAATAAAATTTACTTTTGTCCTAGGTTGCTACTGTGTTGATTTCTAAAAAATAACTAGTGATTTAATACCAGTTATTAGGAGATATACCACACTTTAAGCTCATGGCAGCACACCAAAAGAGCTCATATATATATGTTGGATATCACTTAAGCCTAAAAATTTAGGTTATTAGGTTCTTAAGTCCTCTATGTATATATAAGACATCTCAATCTCATTTTTTAGTGACATGGGATTCTAAACTCACATGTGAACTATCCCAACAATCTCCCCTATTTACTTATGAATTCTAATCAAGTCTTACCTTGGCTTTCCCATGCGAGTAAGTTTATCAACACCTCTTTTAAGGCCATGCAATCTCACATCTCTAATCCATTTTAGGCTAAGCATCCAATCTTGTCTCTCAAGAGGTCTAGGTTATCTTAATGCCCCTTAAGCTTGTACTCGATCACAGCCTTAAGTTTGCACTTTAGGTTGACTAATACATCACCTAATTAGGTGTTTTGCTTTCACATATTATCACACTCACTGCATCGAAGTCGAACATTCAACGTTGATACCAATTATTGAACCTGAAGTGAAAAACACAATAATGCAAAAGTAATTTATCGCAATAAACTCACAGTAAACAAACAACAATGAATAATAAACAATGTTAAAAAATAAAGCATATTAAAATTTATGTGAAAAACCCTTTAGTGTAAAAGAAAAAAATCTCAGACCATTAGAAAAATCTCAGTTATTAAATAATAGATATATAAAATTTTTCTCTAACTAAAATTAAAGTTAAACAACAATTAAAGAAATAATTCGATAAATCTCATCAAATAAATAACTCAACAAATATACTTTAAATTTATTTTTAAAAAGCTTCAAACTTAATTTTTACTGTTTAAAATATAAAATACTAAATAATAAACATACTAACAAAATTTCAACTCAATTAAAACAAAAATCAACCTCCATTCAATATCTTAATTAAATTGACATCTCTCTCTCCTCTTTATTTTCTCTCCTTCGACTCCGCACCTTTTTCACGCCTAAAAACAATCCCCACCTACTAGGGCTAAGTTAAATGACAAAAGGCGCATGGCCTTTAATTGTTTAAAAAAAAAAAAAAAAGGGATTGGACCCACGTATTCCCTGTTATCTTAATACAATTTTAGTTTTTATTTTATATCAATTATTTTAAATAAATTACTAATAAAATATATAAAAAAAAATTTCTAAAAACCTTGAATGAGTACATTGTCAAATAATTTTTTATAAAAAATTAGTTTAATAAAATATTTTAAATTTTAATGATCAACGTTTAAACACTACTATTTATTGGACGAAGGGAGTACGAGTTAACATATACGATCTAAAATTTACTCTCAATTTCATAAATATGAATAACAACTTACTTTTACAACAGCTATGTATATATCAAACTTTAAAGCAAGAGATCAACAAGATTTAAACACTTAAGAATATTCTTCATAATTGATTCTTATTGGCAAAACACTATGCAAGACCATCTCGAAGGGCCAAATCTTTTTTCCCATCAATTAATTATTGCGTTCTTTATTATCAGAAGCTGGTGTAAAGGCACTGTTGAAAATAGAAAAAGGCAATGAGGATTGAAGTGGACTTCCTGTTTGAGAACTTGAAGATGTCAATCCAGTGAAGTAGCTTGATGCGCATGATGATTCGTTCCCATTCTGTGTAAGTAAATTTTGAGAAATGGCCTGCATCAAATTCTGACCAAAACTTTCAGATTTTTTATCAGTTTGGTCTCCAGGTTTTACACTGCTACCAACCGTTGATGAAATGGCAGCAGCTATTACTGATCGGAAACTTGGGTCTGATGTGATTGCCTTGATTAAAGTTTCTGTCAATGACTGTTGGGAAGCTGCAGCTTGGTGATTCTTTTCTAAGAATGATTTGTAAAACTGTTGTAGGGACTCTTTTCCAAGGTTTAAGTTCCCATTGCGAGTTTGATTATAGGGTACTTTACCATAAGCAGGGTAGCCATTGCCCCAAACTGTAGGTAAAATGTTGGATTCTGATGAAGAAAAGTTGAGATTTGTTGAAGGAAATCTAGCTGTTGTTGGAAAGTTTGTAGAGATCCTGTTGAAATAATTAGAGGAAGGAGAGGCGGTGAGGTCTAGAGTAATTGTTGGGAACAAAGGTGAGGTAGAGTTTGGCAAGTAGAACTGTTTTGTTCTTGAATTATCATGGAGGCTGAAGTTTAATCCATTGAGTTCAGTTGTAAGAGCACTTGTGGCTGTGGAACTGAGGCCTGGCTGAGATGTTGAAGAGCCAGACAATAGCATGGAAGCAGCTGCTGAGGTGGTGGAAGCCATGGCTGTAGCTGAAACTGGAAGTGGGTGGTTGTGGTTCCCTTCATAAGTTGTGATTAAGATGGACATATCCTCAGCATATCTTTGCACCTATCCTCAAGTTCAGGGGGGAAATTTTGAGATGATTGTCCTTAAGAATGGGGAAGGAGTTAGGATCAGGCAAAGTCTTACCTGTTTTCTTACTGGACATCCCGGTGCAACAGTGCAACGATAGTAAGCTCTCGGGCATGGATTTCCTTTTGCTATTTTCTGTCCGTATTTCCTCCATTGGCATCCATCACTCATCTGAAAGGAAAGAAATGAATACTTAAGCTTTTGTTGTTCTAGACTAAATTGTCAAAATGATCAAAATAAAAATTCCATAAGAAAACTGGAAAGCTTTTAAGTATATTGGAATACTAACAGTTGCTGCATCACATCTAGCTCTCACCGAAACCCTAGCTCTCTTCAGATGGGCTTGTTGTGCAGCCTCTTCATTTCCATTTTTTGTGGTCTTTTGAATCTTGCTCGGTGGACATGTTTCTTCTGCATCATCTTCCTTTGGTTCTTCTAAACTATTTTCCGGGCTTGGATTTGACACAATCTCTGTAGACAACTGAAACTTAGAGCTTAATCCGAGAGTCAGACCGGCCTTGATCTCTTGATCTTCTTTAGTTTTGCTAGATCTGGTTGTTTTCTCTTCTTTTTTGGAATCAGTTGGACTACTTCTTCCAAGGGAAAGAGAAATAAGTTCATCTTCTGAAGATTGAACATCATTATGAGAAGGAGCTGAGTGTGCAGATTTTTTGGCAGCTCCTTGTTGATGGATTTCAAAGAAGCGTAATTGAAGAGACTTGTAATTCTCCTGGATCTGCTCTAACATCATCTTTAACCTTTCATTTTCTTTCTTCACCTCACCAATCTCAGCCTTTGCGGATTCAAGTTCAACCTTCTGATTAATACATTTATATATACATATATTTGCATTAATTAACCAGCAGATTCTTTGATTTCAATATTCATATCCATGTTATAGAAATTAACCAAAGTTATCGACAATATTAATTGACTGCAACTACCCAAAACTTTTATAGACTTTTATAGATCTAAACACCAAATTTTGCAAAATGGTACTAAAAAAAAGAGAGGGTTGATCAGCTATATGCATGATATGTCCAAAATTGTAAAGATCAGATAGGTCAAAAAATATTTAATGTAAGGACTAATAAAAACCAAGTATAGTTTATATACCTCTTTGTTATCCACCAAGTCTTCATGGCAAGGTGATGATAAGTTCAGATCACTACTTTGGTGTTGTTTTCTTCCAATATCAGTGATCTAAAATATAACGAAGAATCCATTAGCAAATTTTATAAAATTTGAGTCCGAAACTTAGTTTCATTGGTTTATAAAGTCACACTTAAAAAGTGATAATCATGTTTACGATTCAAATTCCAATAACTAAAACCTTTTTGTTACAATTTCGAATCAAAAAAAAGAAAAAAATCTATAAAACTTTTCAGCAAGCAAATTAAGTACCCTTACATATTATTGTTAACATTTTTTTAGCATTAAATGGCTACAATCTTTTGAGATACTGCAACCATTGGTTTACTATCAATGTTTGTGGGAGAATTTAACACCCAATAGATCAAATAATCTTAAGAAATCAATGTTATAGTTTTGTGGAGATAAATAAAAACAAATCAAACCAGTACAACAAGGGTAAAAAAATATCTATATACCTTAATAGCTTCTGGACTGCAACCTTCTTCATAGCCAACAGATGGAGCAATATTATTTTCTTGTTTGACAGCACCACCTGCCCTTGGTACTTTCATCAACAAAACCTCCATTGCTAAATCTCCTTAATTATATTTTCTACATGAAAACCTTCCCCACCCCCTTCTTATAATACAACCAAAAACACAGTTTGGGGTTAAAAAAATTTCAAATATCCCAGTGGTCATCTATCAATTCTTACACAGGCAAAGCACAAAATGTCAACACCCAACCACACTTTCAAGAGTATTTTATTCTTTTTTTTATTTTAAAGAGACTGAACTATTTGAGAAGAATTCAACTTCAATGATTTTGAAATGAAAAGAGAGAGAGCTAGATTTGCGGCCAATACCCAAATATATCTATAATCGGATGTAGCTTTGAAGCTTCATTTTGGACTAGGATTGAAACTACGTGTCTACGTCACATGGGGTTAACAGTCAAAGTTTACTCTTTAGGTAGCTATGGCTTTTGGCCGATGAGCTTTCATGGAAGGATCAGCTTCAACGATCAACGAGTGCTGCCCTGGATTTGGCCTTTGTTTTCATTGTCAGGTTTCCGGTCAATACGCTTGCTTAACACGGAGTGAGACTCTGCTCCATTTGCCATTTTGACCTTTTTGCTTCCATTTTTTCTTCTTTATCAAATTATATGTTATATTTTAGTGGGGATTCCTGCCGATTTTAATGGGTCGGATTATTCGTCCCACTTGAAAGTCAATTGTTTTGCCAGTTTTTAATATTTTAATATATTTTTTGAAAATTTAGATTTTTTGAACCTAATTGGCCAAAGTCTTAGACAGATCGAGTTTTTAAAAGATTGATAAAGATCTATTCGATCCAATCTAATCAGGAAATTTTAATTCAAAAATAAATATTAATATTGTATTATTTTATAATTTTATAATTTTTAATATTTTAATATATTTTTTAAAAATTTAAATCTTTTAAATATGATGGATCAGGTCTTAAACAAAATTTTAAAATATTGATTGAACCTAACCCGGTTTGACTCAACACATAAACAGATTTAACTCTTTGAAAACATTTTTTAATGTTAAAGAATACATTGAAAATTAAGACTAAATAATGTGATACGTTTAAGTTAAAAAAACATTATGTGCTTTTAGAAAGTGCTTTGAAAAAGTGTATTTCACGTTTTCTTTTTATTGGTACCGGGTATAAACATGGCAACTCAACTTGATCAAAGCCTTTTGTAGTTACAGTCGGCCAATGATTTGACTTGCAGCATGCCAGGTAAGATTTTCAGTATTGTCTTAGCTCGGCAATGGCCTATAACCATATTTATCTTATGGAAGAATGAGCATAAAGTAACATTTTATATTCTCGCTAATTAGAGATGATAAAATCAGATATAACAGTTTAATCTGTATTCGATAAATTTTGATTTGATCAAATATTTTATGTTCAATTATTTTTTAAATTTAATTTTGAATTGAATTAGATAATTATAAAATAAAATCAAGATCAAATTTTAAGTAAATTCATTTTAATTTGATTTTATTTATTGCGATCTTTTGATAAAACTTATTTAAACTTAAAAAATTCATTTAAATTTACTTGAATTTGCAATCAATTCAATTTAATTTGATTAGAAAATCAACAATTCGATTTTTAAAATAATTTGAATCCAAATTAATCTAAATTTAAAATGATATAATTCCAAATAATAAAAAAGACTAACTCAAAATAATTTGAAGTTAAATTAATTTTTTTTTAAATTCAACAATTTGAATTTAAAATTATTCAAACCCGAAAACCTTAAATTCAAAACAATCTAATTTTTTTTTATCCTAATAACCCGATTTAAAATGACTCAATCCATATCCAATTTGATTCACCCAATTATCACCTCTAACATTAACAAGAAGTTATGTATATACGTATTCAAAAAGTCTTCTTGTTAAAAATGATAGCCAATTGAATTAGTCTCTAGTATATTATTTTTTTCACCCATTTAATTATCTTTGGATTTGTTGAAAATTTCTAATTGTATACACCAAAATAAAAGATAAAATACAAAGCTACCTTTCTCATTATCTAAAATACCGTTCTATTCTAGGTTTGAGAATTTAATTCCGAAATTTTAGAACATGCACCAAATTAAAAAAAAAAATCTTAAATACTTAAATTTAATTTAAGACGTTCAATAAGATTTAGAATTTACCAATTTGAGGCATATATATTATGGTGGCCGACATAACATGACAAGAGCATATAAAAGTTGGCAAAGGTTCAAAGAACTTGATCGAAATCTTACTTTAGTATGTAAATAGCTTAAAACGTTTAAAACAATATTGATAATTATTACAATTTACTATAATATTTAATAAATAGTTTTTCACAAATTAGAAAATATCTCCACATCTTGGCAATATTAAATTCTTCAAAAGTACACCAAAAAAACAAAATGAACACTCTTTCATCCATTAAAATTGTTCAAGCACATTGGTTGGTTTTTTTTTCTCTTACAATTTGATGGGTTCAATTCTTGCGGCAACGTGAAATTATTATACATCTGGGGATCTGAATATCTGCAACTTGTAATAAATATATAATTTTTTTCCGGATTAATTTGATACATATGTATACTCAAATATTAACGTCATCCATTTGACATTAAGCTTAATTAAAATTTAAAACATAATTATAATAAGACTGACTTGGATTATTAAATTCATCATGGCGTCAATGTGTTTCTTAATTCATAAGTTTTTGTAATATAGTTTAACCTATCTCAGACTAAATAGAATTATTTTTGTATAAAGAAGGTTCTAGTCTAAGATTAAAAAAAAAAATGTTGTAGGTTCTGTGATTTAAATTATAAATTTGTTAGATATTATTAAAAATAATTAGATGAATAAACTAAAATCATTAAAAAAATTAAAATTATTGAAAATTAAAATTTTCAATAATTTTATGTTTTCAATACATTTGATAAACCATTTTTAGAAATCACTTAATGAAAACTTTTCAATGAAAAAGTGTTGAAAATGCCAAGTATTAAGTCATCAATTTTATTTAAAGAAAATATATTATGTAATTGCATTAATTTCATATTCTTTCTTTTAACCATTTAATCTTTCCTTGTTTACTTTTGTCACTTGAAAATAATTATAAAACTATATCTATTTTTAATAAAAAATTAATAAAAATATTTAATTTTCAGTAACATACCAAACAACTTTTATCTCATAAATTCAGTACTTAAATTTTTTTAAAATTAAAAATTCAATACTTAATTAATTTTTCAATATTGAATTTGTTCAGTTTATCAAATAACATGTAAGTTAAGTCCTAGATTCTAAATAATAATGTATTAGCATACATGATTTCTCAAGGTTTTATTATATAAAGTTGGCAATCTCAGTTTCTTAAATAAGCTTTATTGCCCTTTTTTTTATTAAATATTTGGGGTCCTATTCACAGTACAGTTAGGTTGCTCTCTTAATTAATTAGGGGCTGCCACAACTATAATATATATATATATATATATAAAGTTGTCACTAACAATAATTTTTTTTAGTCGATTAAGTTGATCATTTAATGGACCGACTTTTATGGTTGGGAAATTAATTCTACCAGTTTAATTACTTAAAATAATCATTGTTTACCTCATCAAAAAAATAATCATTGTTTTTCTAGAATTAGAAGATTAATGGAGGAAGAATTGTTGATTGGGCTTTTAAATTTTTCAAGAGAGTAGTTTCTTCCTTCTTTCTTTTTTTTTTTTTAATTTTGTTTTTCAATTTTTCCATGAAGCAACCTTATCTTAGACACCTAAATCTAATAGTCAATGGTATTACACATAGAATTAATAGAAAAAAAAAAATCAGCCTCTTACCTTTGAGAGACAATGTTGTAACTTGTAAATGAAAGAGTCATCACGTTTAATGAAAGAGTCATCACGTTTTAACACTTTTTTTTACATTACAATTACAGTCACATGATTTATTACTAAAGTGTTGAATTTTTAATTTAATAATTCAAATTCAAATTCCAGAAGCTTTCAATACCAATAAAAATCTATATATATATATATATATATATTTATATTCTTGTTCCAGGACTCTTGTAAAAGCAAGCTAATTAAGCAATTCAAACTATTTTAGTTTCTTTATTTTTGTGAGATGGGGGATTAGGAGGAAGAAGGATATTTATGATAATCCTCATTTAACATAGGATTATGAACCAACACCAAAATTTTAATTTTGGTTTTATAAATTCCTAAGGGAAGATGTTTGTGACTACTTTAATATTCAAAATGGTTGAAGTTTGAACCAATTGTTTAGACATTGAATTCAGCTCAAATATGAGAATCAATGGAAGTTAAATTTACCAGTTTTCAAACCTTCAAATTGTTATGTCATTTCTGATGTCTAATTGTAAGAAGTTTACAAGTTATAGGAGGTCATCACTGATAAGGGTTGCTAGCCTCTTATTTAGAACAGAATATGAATTAAACACAAGTTGCGCAACCATTTTCTTGAGAAATTTAAGGTAAAATAATTTAGTTAAAGTACAAAGTACAAACAAGTCAAATTAGATATTTATATAATAATTACTATTAAAATCCAAGAAAGAAAAGTATGGCATATTCCAAATTGAGCAATGAATCTCAATCCTTGACAATAATAGATCAATGCTAAGAAATCTCGAGAAAATTTACTCAAAGGAGATTGAAAAATCTCGTAGTGTTGTTAATGCACTTCTTTCGGTGGATGCATGAAAAGTGATTTTCCCTGGAAATTTTAAAATGTCTTAGCTTTATATGTTTCACATTGTAACCCAAAAAAAAAAAATCATAAGGAAGGCCTAGGTAAAGGCGTTCCGGTGACAAAGGACTGGAACATTGTGAGGGCTTGTGAAGGAGATGTGAAAGGAACCTCATGAGCTGCACCCCTCACTGTGGCAAATGTTAGATATGTTACATTCTTCCCATCCCGAGCTGGAGCACCAAATGATTGTGTCCATCCTCCTACCTGCAATGATCGCAATTTTAAGCGCTTGGGATTTGCCCCACAGAAGCATGTTTCTCATTTTAAATACACAAAAAGCAATGATTTGCAGGTGAAAGTAGTGTCTTAGTTTTTTCACATATATGCTTGTTCTCTTCATGCTATTTCTCAAAAGAATATTTTCTAATAGGACTCAAGAGACGTCCACGAGCCAAAGGCCCATATAAATGAGCCTAATTATCATTGAAAAAAGAGAGTTATAGGATAGAATATACCTGCTTCTGGTCAAACCAAGGGCCATAGTCTGTGAGGGGAATGAGATTCAAATCCTTTGCAATGTTAGTAGCAATTATCCTTGTCTGAGTAAGAGGGATTTTTGCATCTTGGTCACCACTGTTGATATCAAAGATTATTCAAATTATTAAATATGAAGTAACAGCAAAAATATTGAACAGATTCTAAACATGAAAAACTTTAGAAGCTTTTGAATATACTTGTATAACAAGACAGGAATTCCCTCGTTGATAAGGTCTGAAACAACAGGAATGATGTTCATGTCCAAGTTTGCTTCTTGGTAGACAAGAGGCCTGCAATGCAAAATCGTTTTTTGTTATATCAACCAATCACTACAACAAATCTGGCAATTTATGACGAATTTTCTAAGTGACTAGAATCTATAGTGAAAGAGATTGAAAGAGACCCTAAACAGAAATCCCAATGGAAAGGGAGGTGAGTTGTATTTGCATGGAGTGCCTTTTGAACTTCAGGCTTATTGAGATAGGTAAATATTCTTCGATCAAGGCATGGATCGCCAATCTTTGCTCTCTTATCAACCTGTCCAAGTGGTATGCAAAAAACCAATCTCATCATATTGCCATCCTAATACTGTAAAGCAATGATCAATATAGTTCAAAATCAAGAATTCTTGAGACATACAGCTTCATGTATCTTTCCAAGCTTTCCTTTAAATCTAAATTGCTCCGCTTTGCTTGACGATGTGCATTTTGGCAAGAGAAGGTCACCTAGTCCAACTCCAACATCTACACCAACTTCATCTGCAACTCTATTGAATACATCATTGCATCCTTGAGACCATTGATTATGAGCGTATTCTCGCAAAAACTTTGAGTCATTGCATACTGTCTTCTCCAAGAACAGGGTTTCATCTGATATAGCACCATGTGACCATAAGAAGTCACCGGCCAATACACTAATGTCTATGTCCAAAAGTGGATTTCCAAGCTACAACAGAGAAAATAAATTTTGATGGTTGTAAAATTTAAGCATAGAAATTAACGAATTTTCATAGCTTAATTTTGAGATTAGGTGATATCGATCACGTTACAGCAATGGATTTGAGGTTGACTGGTTCAACGTTAGGCTTCTTGTTGTGCTCCACCAACAAGGCTGCAAGCTGTGGGATATAGTGGCCTACAAGCAATATTTTCATTTCAATGATCTAATGTTTAATCATGAATAAGTTTCCATTATATAGAACACTTGACAATTAAAAATGGTTACCTGCATAGCTTTCACCAGTTAGGAAGAAGTCACAATCTTTGAATTGGGGAAATTCATCCAGCCAGTTCAAGATAAACACTAAGTTATCTTGAGCTACCACATTCAAAAATCATGAATATGAAGTCAAGACATGAGAATTAGTTCATGATGTTATTGTTATAGAAGATGAAGTACAATTAATGATCAACAGGAAAATGCAGACCTGTCTGTGTATCATTCCATAAGATGTAATCCTGGCTGGTATTTGAGTATGAAAATCCAACCCCGATTGGCGATTCCACGTATAACATGTGCGATTCTATCCGAATTTTCAATTTAAGTAAAGATTAATGAATCTGTTATTTTTGTCAAGTAGAGTACTAGATTATTAATTTCAATTATCAGGGTTTAAATCCTAATATATCAAGTACAAAAAAATAGTGAAGAATATTGTAAAGTTGATGTACCCAAGTTCCATGAATATGGATTCTTGATAAGAGTTCCATCTTCTCCTGGTTCGAATGGACCATTTTCCATGAATGCACCAAAACCAAGTGAAGAACAACCAGGCCCTAAATTAAACAATTAATAATATCAAGTTCATAACAAAAAAAACTTCATGTCAAAATACTGTGACTCTATAAGAAAAAAATGATTATTCTTAGAAGCTAGAAAAGTCATAGCAAAAATCTACTTTTACCCTTGTGAAATAACATTTTGTCATTGCAGAAAGTAATTTTTTCTTAAGTCATGATTATAGATAAAGACTTTTGGTAACAAAGTAAAAGGAAAAAAATAACAGTAAAGTTTCCTGAACTATTTAAGAAATGTAAATGAATTTTTCTTTGAACCTCCATTGAGCCACAATGTTAACGGTTTCAATTCATCTGTACTGGATTCGGCTTCGACAAAGTAGTAGAAAAGAGCTCTGCCATGGCTAGCATCTGTTACAATGTAGCCAGAATACTGGTTAAAAGTAACATTTTTCTGTTGTCCTGGCAAGGATGGTATCGGTTCAGCCCAAGAGTTAGAACAAAAAAGAAAGAAAAGCAAAGAGAAGAACCAAAGAGCCATGACAAAGTTGATAGAGAGACTTTCCTATGGCTTCACAGATTGTTTATATATATAGTTATGGATTTACATTGTTGGTTCAAACAATGCCAGCTTTTTGTATTTTTGTTCTCTGTAAGTTTCATGGAAATGGCATGTTTCGGCTGCTTTGTAATAAAATGACATAAAGATCATCTAAAGATGCAGTTCAAACATAAATTTCAATGTTTATAGACATTAAATATGAAGACAATATCCAGTTGTCCACAGATGGAATTTGTTTTTGCAGGATGTAACATCCCTTTAGCTGTAATTTCTGCAACAATATTGTTGAATCTCCATCTTGTTTTTGTCTTCATTAATATATGAGGTGCTATTAGAGAAATTTATGCCAATAATCCTAATGGATTACTTTTCTTTAAAACTTCTACTCACTTTCCATTGCCATCATTACCCTATTTAACCCTTTAGACCTGAAAATATGGCTTTAACCTTTTTCCCCCTAAAAGGCCTAATTCATATGTAGATTAGCTGGGATACAACTTACTATAGTTGCCTTGTATAAAAATGTAATCAAATCCAAATTTATTCGTACAAACTTATAAAGCTTCAACTCTTTTTGTCTTTAAATTAATGTTTTTACATTCCAAAATAGTAGGTTTTTTTTTTTTTTAACAAAGGAAGATGTAGTTTAAGGATCAAGAAAAATATTGCAAATCTTAAAGTCGCTAGAATTTGAATTTTAAATTTGTTAAATGTTACATCTTAAAAGTAATTATATGAATCAGCTTAATTAAACTCTGGATAAATACATTCTCTTTTTTTGTCACTATTTCATGAAAAAATGTAGAATTTTCAACTTAAAAAATGGTCTTTTCTATAACTTTTCTACTTGAAGAACCCTTAAACATTTGTCCAAAATCAAACAGTTTGTTTTTCCAATGATTTAATTCTCTCCATAATCAAAATCTTAACAATTTTTGAGTTTTTAACTCATTAGGGTTTGACTGTTAAATTAAACATTTTCTTTTAAAACTATCAAAAATTGCAAAACATTAATCTTGCAGAGGAAATTGTTATACAAAAGGGTAGCAACAATAATGCTTTGAGTCAAAAAGTACACAACAAGAATTTTCTCTACAATTGCATGTCGGAATAATATTAGCTAATGTTAATGCTAGACATAGAGTTATTTTCCTCTTGAGAATATTGAAAGATAATAGGATTGGCGATAAAGTTTGTAAAAAATAAATTCTTATCAGCTGTTTTAAAGAATGTTTTCTATTTTTTTCAAAGGGTTTTTGGTAATACAAATGGATTGGCTATGATTTGGGCAGTACCTGTGTGAAAAAAGGTTATAACTGTAATAGGAGGAGAGTGTTTGTGAGTAAAGATTTATACTGGGGCTAAAGGTACTTTTGAAGGTTAAAAGGTTTGGATTATCTAGAGTTCTTCTATTAACATATACTCAAAACATTGATCATCTGAATAGTTATCTGTGTCTGAGCTATCATCATATTACTTGATCATAAACAATGATATCTCAGTTTGTTCATCATCAAAGGAGAAAACTGATTCTAGGTCATCATCTAAAAGATTAATACCAGAGATATTATTAGTATCATGTATCATCTTTACTGACTTTTCATCTAACTTATGGCAATTCTTTGCAAAATGTCTTAATTTATCGTAAAGAAAACACTTGTTTCCTTTCTGCTTTGGGTCTCTTTTCTTTCTATCAACTTTGAACTTTTTCTTTTACTTCTTTAGAGAATCATCATCATCAAGGAAGCTTCTAGTATATCTTTCATAAGTTTCTGTCCATTTGATCCATATGGGAATGGGTTTGAACCATTGAAGAAAAACTTGAGGTATTGATGACTCAAGTTCATCTGATTTCTTTTTGGATTAATGATTAACTGATGAAAAAAATGGAGGAATCTTTTGAGCTTTTAGAGTGGGAATTCTATAGCAATGTAGTAAAAGTGACAAAAGTACCATATGAAACAAAGAGTTTTTTTTGGGAACCAAAGTGGGTCAAGGAATTTGAAGGAGTAAATGAAAAGGTAGTCTGGGTGTATTCCAAATGATTGAATAGAGATGTCTCCAAATCTTTTGAGTATCTTAAATTGGTATTTGAAGAGGAAATGTAAGGCCTTTTGGTTAAGGAATTTGGTTGTAATCAATTTTGATAATTCTAGAGGGAGTTTTTTAATTGAGATGTTGAAAAATTCATCTGGAAGGTAAAATTCATCACCAAGGTGAAGCTTTGTTGAAAAAGGAACAAATGGGCTTTTTTAAGATAAGACTTTAAAGGAAAAAGGTAAGGGTGAGGGTAAGGGATTCATCATGGAGATTACTGAAATAATCATCAAAGAACTTAAAGAAAATCTAGATAACATATCTGAGAGAATATTATTCTTTCTTTTTATATATGCTGTGGTGAAGGAGTACTTTGAAAACCATTAGGAAAGTTTGAACAACTGTGCATTTGGTATACACTTTTTATTGAAATTGAGTATATAGTCAAAAACTGACATATCTAATTCCATGAGAAAATAGTATCCAATGAGATAAAATTCAAATATTTGGATTTCATATTTCATTGCAAAAATTTCTTTTAGCGTAGAGTGGTAATGGATTTCCAAATATTTAAATCTATCACTTTTGTATCCATATATCTATCTGGTTTTAACTTTCTCTTCGATAAAGATTGCCTACCAAAATTTGTCGCTTTACTTTTGTCTACAATATCCTTTTGCCATCTGAAGGAATCTTTAAAGTTGAAAGTGACTGTGATCTTATCTTCACTATCTGCACTGACTTTGTCTATTTCAGGGACCACTTGGGTGATTCTTTCTTTAGCATCTGTTTGAGAGAGTGAGTTATGTGTGTAAGATTTACGAAGAATTCACTCATATAGTTAACTATACCAAGGAATTGTTGTATTTATTTCTTGGAGAGATTTTCATTAAAAAAATATTCTATTGTCATATCAATGTGGGGTTAAGGAATGAAATATCCATATTTTAAATGCATATCTAAAAAATCAATTTCTGAAGTGACAATGATCATCTTTTTCTTTGAAAGCATTATCCCATATTGTTGAATAATTATCTAAAACATATCCAAAACTGTGCATAAAATATGACATCTGAAAAGAAGAATAAAATATCATTAATGTAGATGAGTGCATATTGAAGAATTATGGCAAAAATCTTTGTCATTGCTTTTTGAAATAGTGAAAAAATGACTTTTAAATCAAATGGCATAATTGTCCACTGAAAATAATGTTGGTTCAATTAATCATTGAGCTTGGAGTCATGAAAATTCTTGAATTGCTAGTAATTTAAATTCATTCCTAAGTGACTAGATTTTGTGTGGTTGACATTATTATTTTTTCTTTTCTTTCTGTGAAAACATAAGTCAATGTTGATTTCTACTATGTTTTTAAGTTCTTGATTTAGAATTCTTATTCTTGATTGGATTTTAAAAATAATATTCTGAATATTAATGAAACTTTGATCAAAATGGTGACTAATTTAATCTTACTTGTTTTTTATTTGAGTCCAATATGCATTCTGTTGAAAAAAAATTTTAGTTTGCCAATTCAAAATTATTTTTGCATAAAAAATACTTTTTTTATTTTCATATTTATTTTTTTCAGTGAAATTTAAAATTTTTGAAATATATTTGTATTGATTTATGTAAAGTTTTTGAAGAAAAAAAATTCAAATTATAAAATTGACTTAATTACAACACACACATATATATATATATATATATATATATATATATATATATATCTGAAGTAAAAATCGAATTGTTTCTGTTTTTTTAGAAACTTTAATCTTGAAAAGTTTGGGAAGTGTCTTTGAGGAAATATATAAATAATGCAGAAACAATTATTGGAATGGAACATAAAAAAGCTGATTGCTCAGTATTAGTACTATTTCTATTTTATAGTGACATGACATGATCATTATCAACACATAATGTAGACTTCTGAGAGACATAACATGAGACAAAAACCACTGTCCTTATTGATTTATAGTACAAGAACCTCAAGTCAAAACATTATTTCCGCCCTGTCATAAATTAGAAATAGTCCCAAAAGGTCATTCAATGAAAGGATCTGCCTCAAATGTCTAACTAGTCCCCACCTAGCCCTGGCTATAGAAAAACTCAGTTGCAGTTATTATTGCCCTTGAATGACTTAAATTCAAACCCATAAACTCACTTGAAAAAAATGACAATCAATTTAAAATAAAAATAACATGCAGTGTATAAAACGTCTAACGCATTTATGTTATCAGAGTCATCAAAAAAAGTCTTCCTATATTAGGACAACAAAGGTGGGTAAAATTTGGGATCTATGTCATAAATCTGTATCAAGTTCAAAGCCAGTCATTTTACATCATGAAAATTGACAAGAGAAGGGAAAATACGAAGGAAAAGGAATTGGAAAAGAAAGGTGCTACAAAAGAGTGCACTTCTAACATTTTTCTCATTGAGCTACATAGTTCATCCTGTGCACTTACAAAGTTTTGCCTTTTTCTTCTTGGTTTTTTGTTCTTTTTTTCCCTTTTATGTACATAATTGTAAGGAAAAAGAAAAACAAAGAGTACCCATGTCCCACTAAGAGGAGGAAAAAAAAAACCAAAGAAAAGAAGGAAATAAAAGTTCCTAATGGTACACAGCAGGAACTGAAAAGACATGGATGAGAAATTGATGTGTATTACATGACACGATGTAGATGGGTGAGATCAGTTTTCCACGATCTCAGGGCCTGTGTATGGTGCTCCATCAACAACCAAGTCCTCAAGGTTCTCCCTCTCTTGAAGCCATGCATGCTTATCCTTCTCCTCTTCAGGTACAGTTACTCCATCAACTAAGTCAAATTTGCAAGAATTTCACAGTAAGCACAATTTCAATAAAGCAAGAGGAAAAGCATGGGGAAATTCGATGTCAAGAAGCAAACATGGTACCTGAGAACTTTGTGAAGGGGTAGTCTAAGTAGTAAGTACAGTGCCGTCCATCCGGATCGGAGTATGGAGGGCCTAGAACATCCAACACCGCACATGCTGTCACAGCTGTGAAGCAATGCATGTTGCCTCCATCAGCTGGATAAAGTATGGAGGTGTTGCAAGGTGCAGTGAAGTAAGAATCAACCTTTACCTCAGCCAACCGGACTTCAGGATGTTGCACTGCTAAGAAAAACAAAAAATAAATAAAGTGTCAAGGTAATTTCTGTCCATGTACATCAAGGACGATGCTTCTGTTACGCCTTTCACTTTTGTCCGGCATCAAATCTCTTTTAAGGATTTCTAGGGGGGCTTCCATCTATTGCTCTCAAGAACACATTGAAAACATTACAAGCATATTAACATACCATATTCTAATATTCATATACGGTATTCTAAGCATATATCTTGTTCAAGGATCTAATTTCAAGCAAATACAGCTTTTTAGGTTGTTCATCTAAACGGACAATCATTTCCAACATAAGAAAAGCACAACCTAACATTGCAATACTCAATTTTATAACTAAGAAAATTTGCTCCTTTATTTCTTCACCAATTCCCCTTTTTCTTCTCTTTTCTTTAGGTATGCTGCCAATAGTCCCGCACCAACATGCTTCAACTTGGAATTTGGAAGTCATTTCATCAGGCAACATTAGAAATTTACTTCCTTTTCTAATTTATTTAAGAAATAGAAGTTGGCTGGGTGTTACACCAGAAAACCAGGAAAACACAAAGATTGGGTGGGGTGTATTCTAATCGGTGCTCAACAAATGGAGTCTTTTGAGACTAGTCCACTATTCTACCCTGTGTCTTAACCAATGGCAATACATGAGCCTTCAAGAATTCCAAATATAAACCACCATCAAGAATTTGGCTTTAACATGACCAATCTATCTTATTATTATTATTATTATTATTATTTCTCTTTGCCACTGAAACCCAATCGTGGATTTCTCTTTTTTCTCCAGTCCCAACCTCTACCCTATCCCTCTTTTCCTTTTTTCCCCTTTCCAAGAAGCACCTACGCTAGCTTTTGCAACATCTCAAGGACAGCTGCATAAACGTCTGGATGAATAACCGTTTATATGGCTCTAAGGAAAATGCATAGACACATATCTACTGAGAAAGCAATAGAAAAACAATTAACCCTTAAAAAAAAAAAAAAACCTACTTTGTGAAGGATTCACAACAACCGATGCATTCGGAGGGACATCAACCACCCAGTCATATGATTTGATGTGCACAGTCCCAAAGAGAAGCTTACTGAAAACTGTCATTCCAGGGTGATTGTGAAGCGGAATGACACCAGATGGTGGCAAGCAAAAGATGCCCATCTGCAATACATGAAAAATTTTACAAAGTCCAAAACTACAACACATTTCTTAAAGATCCAAAAAGCATTTCAAAATGCTGTACATACCGAAAACTTTTCACACTGAAGAATGTGCAGGTATGTTATTGTTGGTGCTGGCTGAGTTACTTGCCGCTTAAAAAATGGCATTTTGGGAGTAACACCAACATCTTCCGGCAGGATTTTATCTACCCAAGAACAAACAGAGGTTATGTCAGTACAGTAAGCGTAGCATCTGTGATAGTTCATATAATTTTCATTCTTTGGCTCTATCTCCATCAGTTACATCTTTGCATTCTTTAGATAATAAACAAATGACCGCATCTTTTTCACTGACTTTTACTTTAAAACGGAAGATAACAGTTAATGAAAGCTGAATAACCTTATTTCAATTGCAGTGGCAATTCCTTCTCAGTGAAAACAACCACATACAATGTCCGCATAAGAAACAAAATGCAGACATGATGAAAGAGTTTGCATCACACATAAACAAGGTGCATCAAAATTAAAGAATTAAAATGGCTGTATATAAAAGATGAATGCTCCCTTCTATATTTCCAGTTACACAGTTCCAAAGTATAAAAAAATATAGTAAAATATAATGCTCCAGAATATAAAGAAATGCCTAACAAAGGATCCAGACCTGAGATATCTTTCCTATGACATATGAAACACATAGACACCAAGATGGCACCTAATTTATTTACAGACTATATCCGATATTTAACACAAAAAAGAACATCTATGAAAGCCTTAACGGATACTAATGAACCATATGAAAGAATGACATGAATAATATAAAATGCGCGCACCGCATAACACAAATATTCAAAAAATATCAGTAAAATAAGAGTTCTCAACATATTTTTACTGCTTTTATCTTATCACATAATTTGACAGAAGTAACTACTAGTAGTTTTGGATATCACATTCCTATGCTAATAAATGCATAGCTAAATGAGTGGTAAGCCAATGACTACGTGCCACATAGGTGCCCTTTTAAAAGGACAAGCATTTTCCAAAAAATAAAAATTTAATGAAAGTAGGTAAAGTGTTTGATTATTTCATCAAATATTAGGTGTATTAAGTATTGTCAAAAGATCCCAAAAAAACATATATCATAAAAAATGCTAAACCAAATTCCCAAATTTCATACCTAATCATTCGCAAAATTCAATCAAAATCAAGACATAAACCATTTCAAATCAATTATGTATCAACAAATGAAACAACTTTTCGGCACCAATAAACTACATTTAGACATCAAAGTCAACCTATCGTACGATCCAATCAAACCACAATCAAAACATACCCAAAACAGCTCTAAGCTGTTCAATTTTATCCCGATTAGGGACAATTCCAGTCCCGGATAAGGCAAAAACGTCCTTGCAAGTATCGTAAAGCCTTTGAACCGGTGACACCACAACTGCAGTCGGCATCATCATCTTCCTAGTCCGACGGCGGTTCTTCTTTCCGCTGCTATCTGACGAAGTAGTATTCCTATTCTTATTCGTATTGGAAACTTTATTTGTATCTTCTGAAATTGTTTTGACTTCCTTAGCCAATTCACTAAAACCTTTCCCTTTTATATTAGCCAAAGTTGCTCTCCCCATTTACCCTTCAAATTTTCCCCTTAGAATTTTGAATCAACTCTATCAGGGGCATAGACAAAAAAAGAACTGAATTTCAATATGGGTATTTCTAAAAAAGTATTTAAATTAAAAATTAAAATCTGGGTATTGAAGAAAAAGTGAAAAGAACCAAGAAATGGCGATGAACAAAGAAAAACAGAGGAAAACAGAGGAAACGAGAGAGACAAAAGAGTATAAAAAATGCTTTCTTTTCCTTCTATTGCAATTCAAGCTGGGGTTTTTGCACAAGTTGAAGGAAAGTAAGACAGAGATGGGAAAGTAGGCATCCCTGTTGGTGTTGGTAAAGAAAAAGGAGAGGAAAAGAATGGGTATAAAAGGGAGGGGACAAGAAGCAGAAGAAGAAGAAGGATAAGAACAAGGGCAGAAATGTTGAGTAAAGCTGAAAGGTAAAGAGTGAACAGTTGGTTTTTGAGAGAGAGACTGAAAACCAGGGGCCATAGTCTTGGATTCTACCACCTGCAAAACCTATGGGCTATTTCAAACAGCTGATTTCTTTATCCAACTCTGCTCTCTTCTCTCTCTACGTCTCTCTCTCTCTCTATGAATGTGCGCATCTTGACTTTTTCAATTTTTACCCATGATTTTTGTTTTTACAACTCAATAACATAATTTTCACATCTGTTCTTTTGTTGTGTTTATGAAAAGAATTGCACTTGAAGACTTTAGGTTTAGGAAACTTTTGGAAATGGCTTGAATTTGTTGATGTATAGCATTTTGTAGGACGACCAATTCATCGATTCGATTTAAAAAAAAATTAATAATCGATTTAATATATTTTTATTTAATAAATAATTGAATTGATAAAAAATTTTTAAATAATTGATCATAATATTAAAATTAATTTAATTAAATCAATTCGATTAAATAATCAAATTTTTTATCATTTTTATTATAAATAATTATTTAAATATAAATTTAATTTAATAAAATTCAAATTCAAATATCATTCAAATTAAATCATTAAAAAATTTAAAAATTTTAATAATATTTTACAAAAAAAAATAAATAAAAATATTTATCTTAATTTTTTATCTTTACTTATTAAAAAATTGATTAATTCAATCAATTTAATTATTAATTTTAAAAATAAAAAAGCGATCGAGTCAACTAATTTAATTAATTTAAAAAATTAATTATAAGCAAAATCGAATAAATTAAATCGAATCAATTGAATTCACTCAATTTTAATTAATTTAATCGATTTAAATTGATTTTTGCTCACCCTTAACATTTTAGTCCAATTTTGTGATAATTTTTAAGAATACTAAGAATTTAGTGGTATTTGATGATAAATATAATACAAAAGTCTCTTTTATTTATTTTTAATTTTATTTTGTATCATATATGTCCTCAAAGCATTTACTATATTTGTGGAGGCTTTCATAGGAGGAAAAATGTTTGTTCGCTCTTATTTATATTTATTTTTATATATAATATTAATACAATGAAAGTGCTAATAAACATAATAGGTAATTAATTTATCTATGAGTTAACAACTTGAAATCTAATTTTCTTTCAATTAATAATTTCTCGTGTTGAGAGATTCTTCCTTTTAAAATAATTAAAAGATTAATCGACAAACATATATACTAAGTTTTAAGTAATTTAATTTGCAAATTTGAGTTCAAATTTTGAGATGAAAGAAATCGAATTCATGGAATTAGAAAGAAATACTTCTAATGTATTGTATAAACTTAATGTGTTTATATATATATATATATATATTAGTATAATATCTCGCGCATTATTGCAAGTGTTTTTTTAAATTATTTTAACATTAAAGTATAAAAAAAATAGATTAAAATACAACAATAAATTATAGTTTCTAAATTAATAACATAAAAAATTATATTAAAATAAGTATTATAATAAGGAAAAGATTGGTATATTATTGACTTATAATTTACCTTATTTTTTGTTTTTTTGCTGGAAATTCTTCAAGGAATAATATGGAGATTTATATAAATTATGTTCTTTATTCTTGTAACTTACCATTAATATGTATTTATATTATTTAATAAATATGTTAAACTTAAATTATATTAGATATTAAGTACATTTATTTATAATTAATTAAATTTATGAATAGCATAGATTCATTAATGATAAAATTAGTGAATAGTTAAATTTATTTATTTTGAATTTGATTCATAATTAAATAATAATAAATATAAATCTAAATTCAAAATTTTAAATTTTAAATAACACAAAACACAAATTACATATATCCACAATTAATTGAGTTTATGAATATAGTATAATCATGAATGTCTAACTTAATAAATAATCAAAGTGTATACTACCAACAATCGTTCGTATGAGTGATAAGAAATTCAATTTTTTTTTAAGTAAAGTCTCAATTTAAATCTTGTGAATGAAAAAAACAGATTTGGGAGAAGTTCTCTCTTTTGTAAAATTTGACTCGACTCGACTCCAATTTAGTTGGAGCCTTAAGTGACGACTGAACACTAAAAAGTTTCAGATAAAAAATATATATATATATATATATATATTAATGTTAAATTAGATGTCATTAAGTAAACCTTGTAACATTTGATAAAAAAAGAAGAAACTGACATAATAATTAGAAGGATAATGAAGCTGATATGGCAATGTTCATGAGTTATAAAGATAGACAATAGAAGATAAAAATACATGGATGTTAGATATATATAGAAACATACACACTTTTTAATTTTGGAATGATTTAGGCCTCATTTAGATTGCGTTGCACCCGTGGTGAAGTTGCAATCAAAATGTGCGCCCACAGTAACTTATTTTAAATGAATGCATGGGGCAATTGAAGAATGGCCAGTCATTAGCTGGCTATTTTGATCCAATTGATGACCAGTCAGCAAATGTTTTTTTTGTTTTCCATTTTTATTATTTAAATTTTATCATTATTTCGAAAATGTCCTTACAAAATTTTTATTTTTATTTAAAAATTGTAAAATAAGTTTGTTAATTTAATATAACAAATAAAGTTTATTATTTAATACATTAAGAAATAATTTGAATAAATTTTATAAATATTAAATAATTTAAATTTTTTATTATAATAATTTTTATTCTAATATTCTTAATTATCAATTTTTCTCTTCCCAACAATTTCACTTCATCGATATTGCTACTTTTACATCTTGTAGATATTTATTTTGTCCAAACCAATTCAATTTTATTCAATTTTTATACTTAATTTAAATGTTTAGATTTGGTTAATTTAAACATTATAATTAGATTTATCAGATCGAGCTCTATTGAACTTTGTTTTAAATTAATCCTTTTTGGATACTTTTGCACAAGCCTTGGTTTAATTTAGTTTCTTTATTGAATTAATTTTGAATTAAGATTTAAGAGTCGAATTGAAAGACTCAAAGTCTAATTTTGAATCCAAACTTAATTTTTAAAATCCAATCTAATGACATTTTATTTAAAGGCCGATTAAAATCATTTGGGCTTGAAAGCTTATTGGAAATCCAAAATTCAATTTAAAGTCCAAAATTTGAAGCCTAATTTTACTTTTAGATTAAATTACTCAAATTAAATAAGCAAATATGCCCTTAAAAAAGGAAGCAAACAATTGAAGTTGGCATTGCAGTATTATAGAGCAACAAGCTCCTCAACCCATCTTCACACCACAACAAGCCAAATATGCTTTTCAAGTGCAGCGATTTTGCTGCTACAATTTTGTTTGAGCATTGAATGCCTATGTCTTATTTCCATTCATAGATATAGGAAAGATACATTAAGAGGAAAAAAAAGGGAAAAAAATTCTACAAAATTCTATAGTATCTCTCAACCTCTACATTTGACCATCATTCAGCTTACCAAGCTTTTCACTACCAATTATTAATCACACCATCACCACTCTCAAACCCCCCCAACAAAAACCACATAAACCCATTCACCCCTTTTTTGAACCTGCCATCAACAATCACTACCATCAACATCACATGCCCTACTATTACCACCATAAAGCTTGTAATAACCAGTAACCCAGTTTAAAAAAAAAAAAAAATCAACCCATTTGGCCCTATTTTCCCTATACATCAACAAACTCAAAACTCTTTTGCCAACCAAGAACAACCCCTCGCCATTTTTATTCACTACCCTTAAAACCTATTCCAAACTGAGACAACCATCATCACAATCGTGAACCGTCACTGTTAACCATAATCAACACAAAAAAACCATCACAAAAAACACAAAAAAAAATCCACTCGAAACTTATCATAACAAAAAAAATTACAGTCTTTTTTAAGGAGAAGAACCTTAGCACCAACACAAAAAAAAAAAAGCAAAAAAAAAGGAAAGTTTGGAGGTTTGACATTCGACGAAGGAAAATCGAAGAAAAAAACAAAAAAAAAGGGAGTAGAAAAAAAATAGAAAAGAAATATTATAACATATAGATCCAAAAATCTATAGTTAAACTTAACAAATAGATTTACCATCAATCTTTTTTAACTAGGTGTGATTCACCACCTAAAAAATCTATCATCTTAAGGAGCTCCTAAGCTTGACTAAGGATCCCTAAAAGAATAGGTTCGGATCTACTAACCAGAACAGGGTTCGGAAGTTCAGTTACATGTAAAAAATATTATAGCAGCCCCATATGCCATCCAAATGATGGTACCATATTATTTTAAATTTATCCTTAGGAATTGAGTTTAATGGTTTCAAATTTTTATGTTGAAATATTGAAAATAATTTAAGAGATTCTTCCATCAATCTAATAGAATTCTTAAAAATATTTTTTTCCTCAAGAGTATTCAAAGATCCCATTTGTTTCCTTAGAGAGACTCCGTCATAAAAAAAAAATTTCTTTATTATTCTTTTTTGTTAAAAATATATTTAATTATTTCACAATTTGGGCCAAATTCAAAAAAAAATTTTGAATTTCTAAATTTTTTTGCCATTTGGGTCTATTTAGAAATTCTCTCTTTTTTTGTTAGATTTCTAAATTTTTTACTATTTGGGTCAATTTAAAAATTTTTTTTTTCAAAATTTTTAAATTTTTCACCATTTGGGCCTATTTAGAAATTTTCTCTTTTTTTATTGGATTTCTAAATTTTTCACCATTTGGTCAATTTAGAAATATTCTCTCTTTATTTATTTTTTTGTCTTCGGAAGGAAAATAATATGACAATTACTTTTTATTGAAATTTCATTTAAATTCTTCCACTATTTGGGATAAATTTAAAGAAAATTTTCACTTAGAGATTTATTAAGAATTTACCAATTGAAATTTTTAAGAATCCCATTATTGGATAATTATCAAATATTTTTAACCAAATTTGAAAAGAATGTAATTACTTTTATTGAAATTTCATCTAAATTATTTCACCATTTGGAACAAATTTAGAGAAAATTTTTGACCTAGAGATTTCTTAAAATTTTACCATTTTAAATTTTTCAGAATATCATCCTTAGGTAATTTGTACTTAATTCTAA